GACTGAGAGTTTTTCAGCACGGTTTACAAACGAATGTTGACTAAACTGAAGTTAAATGTAGCAGAAGGACTGATAACTTGAGAACAATAACAAATGGAGACATGGCCAAATGCTCAAGTAAATTGGTACGGCCATCCATGAAACCTTCTCCCGGTGACCTGCTTCTATGTAGAGTATACCCTCGCCAAATTTCGCCCGCACTTCCATGCCTCAATTGGCCATGTTCTGGCGTGGCGCAGTAGCGTGGGTGCCAGCCCCACTTTTTCACAGCTTCAAGGCTTTTTCTATGTATAAAATTTTGGCTATCAAGTCATTTAGTCCGTCCTATTATTTGGCCCAGTTCGAGCATGGTACGCTAATGCGTCAGTGGCATTATGCCTTGCGTGAACATAATTGCTAGCCTGGAAGCGTCAATCCGTCACCTCAGATGATCAACTCAGTCATGGTCAACAGGGCAATAGGGAGGAGTATGAATATGGGGAATTAAAAATTTATGATAGATAAGCCAGTTCACGGCAAGATGAGGCACAGTTCAGCACATAAAGAGTATTTTCACATCCCGCAATGTTTTTGGAAACCAGTTCCGCAAGAAAACAAATAGCTACGCAGACATTTTTTTACCAATCTGCAATTCTCCATGCAGTAGTTTGGACGGAGGCATATGCGATGCACTACCATCCACTTAGAGCACGTTGAGTGACAGTGTATATATAATCACAGTCTGTTAACAGACACTGTGCCATCAGAACCATGGCAGAAGAAAAAATGAAGAAGATAGAAACACGAAATACGATAATAAAAAATGGAAAATGCTTTCTTTTGGTTTTACGCTACTTTGCTATTTTGTTTTGGTTTCATGAGTTTTGTGTGCATTAAAAGGGGGATAACATGGAAAAACAACATTGACGCCACTGCTGTCTGTTGCGGGCCACGACATCCAATGTTTCCAACCACTGAGACTCCGCATCTCGTGGTTCAACTGCCGCCAAACTTGAGATTGTCTTCTTCATGCTCCTTCTTCCCACCATTGGCTGTCCACCGTGGCACTTTTTCCAATCGCTCCCTGGGAGTGCAAATAGCGCTCGACGTGAAAGGCGATGGACTGGCATGAACAAAACGTGTCCGAGCCAACGCATGAGATGTCAGGGAAAAACGTTCGGAAGACTGGCACTACTCGCTCCAATCACTCGGTCTCGGACCTCTGCGTTGCTTACGTGGTGTTTCCATCACCCCCGAGCAATTCTTCAAACACAGCGATTGTCGAAGACTGACAGCCGCTTCATATCTTCCGAGCGAATAGGCCGTCTCACAGCCGTACAAGAGCACTGCACGGACGGAAGCATTGTACACGCTGTCCTTGAGCTTGAGACTGACATCCCGACGACGCCATAGGTGTCTCAGTTTTATGAATGCAAGGCGGGCCTTTGCAATCCGTTTTGAGACTTCATCCCCAACACCGCCACCAACCGTGATGCAACTCCCTAGATAAGTAAAGCAAGGGACTTGCTCCAGAACATGTCCAGCAATGGTGAGCGCGGGTTCAGGCACCTGCCAGTCCTGGAGCAGCGTTTCGCATTTTCCCGGAGTGAAGCATAAGCCGTACTTAGACGCCTCCATCGCCAAGCGGTCCAAACCACTCTGGACGGTTTGTGGGTCGTCCCTCAGCAAGGTGATTTCATCGGCGCAGTCCAAATCTATGACTCTGTCTCCAGGGAGGAGCTCAACACCACAGATCTGGACACCTTCTAGTGCTTTTGGGACGACATCTTCGATGGCGAAATTGAAAAGGAAAGATGAAATAGGGCAATCTTGGCGAAGACCGCTGGTCACAGCAACCGAAGAAGAGAGCGTGCCGTAAGTCCTGACTTTGCCCGGTGTGTGACTGTAAAATTCTTTTAGGATGGTTAAAAACTTGTCGGGTACACCTTTCTTCAGTAAACAGTTCGACAACGCAGATCTATCTACTGAATCAAATGCCGCTCGGATGTCCAAAAACACTACGATTGATGGCCTCCGGTGGATGTGACGGAGTTCGAGAAGTTGGCGAAGCTTGAAGGTTTGGTCGATGCAGCCGCGGCCTGGCTTGTTCTCTCGGGAAAACCCCGCTCTAGTCGTTGAAAGCCTGCGAAGTAGGACCGATACGAAGATTTTGGATGCAATGGAGATTAATGAGATTCCGCGGTAGTTGCAGCAGTCGTCTCGGGGACCCTTCTTGTGAATCGGAACAATGACCGCTTTTTCCCATCAGTTCGGAACCTTCTCCTCAGTCCAAACTTTTGTGAACGGCGATAGGATTTCGCCGACAAGTATACTCCCGCCATGTTTCAATAGAGCCGGTGGTAGGCACTCGGGACCCGGAGCCTTGTGGCATTTCAAAGATTTGATTATATCTCGGATCTCTACTTCATTTGGGGCGCTGTGAAGACAGGCCAAGCATCATACATTGGGGCTGGAGGTGTCACATGGGGCTGTGTTGGGTGGTTGAAGTGAAGAGTGAAATGTTCTGCCCAGCGACCCAATAGCCTGTGAAGCTTGGTGATCTTCGTGCCGTTGGATTCGCAAATAGTCTGGGTGTTAGCGTGCGAATTGCAACCGGTGGTCCTGATGATGCCAAGTAGACAGCAGAAGTTACCAGCTGG